GTTTGTTGTCTACAACAAACCCATTGGTCTTCAAGAAGGCCACCACCACCAAGAAAGTAGGCTGCATGTCTTTTGCAACCATCTTTCGAATAGTCATCATACTGTTGTCCACATCGAGTACAGGTTTTATATCGCGCTTCGCCTGTCTCCTCACTCAAAGCATCTCGAGCATCATCAAGAAGTGTACGCATTTCGAACAGTTCACTTGAACAATCATCAACAGGATCCACTGGTTGTGCCTGAGCCAGTAGTCGTACTGCTTGAACGATAACGTCAATCTAAAGTACATCACATCAATAAGGATAACGAATGATGGAGTTACATTCTAAACATACCATCGGCACTCCATTGATAGGTTGTGCTAATGTATCATATGTGTAAACATCATATTGAGGAAAACTCTGTATAGCTTCTAATGCCCATTGTTCAAGGACAACACCAGGCTCAGTTCGTAGTATAACAAAAGCTTTGCCACGTTGTACAGCATAACGAAATTCTAATTGACAATTAGCTGATTCAACGTATGCTTTTGAAAGAAATACAAGTAGCACTTTGGCACATTCGACGCCAGTTGCCATTGCATCGTTCGTTGAGCCCTGCATTGCACCCCAAATATCGAACCAGACTTGTACATTACGCATATTCATATCTTCATAGACTTGACGAACGAATTCTTGTTTATCCCATTGGTAACTAGAAACACCTGGATGTTAAATCTACACAATCTAAATCTATATGCACATACCTGATCATACAATCAAGTGGACGTCGTTTGGGTAAACCGTATTGATCGAGAAGTGTTGGGGGTGCTTTGAACGTCAGACGTGTTATTGAGTGATGTGTATGATCAAAATATCCGTCAGCATGGGGCTCAGGTAATTGAATTCGAACAGGCTGCCTGATTTGATTGAGATTTACAAGGCGGGATTTACGTGCCGGTGGCCATGTTGATAGTTTGGATTTACATTCATCGAGTTGTTTCGCAAGCGCTTGCTTCTCAATTTCTTCACGTTGATTTTCACTTGGAACTGGTTGGCACGCAATCTTTTAAAGAGTTGCATATACAGATGTATCCAACTTGAGATGAAATATACCTACTTCGATTTCGACACGTAAATCTGTCAAACGATTACTATCGTAGAATGCTTTACTGGCTGTTTCCTGATCGAATATACGAAAAAAGACTCGTCCTGCAATTACTAAACCAAGCCATCCTTCCGGTCGCCATTTCTTTATTGCCATAACTGGTACAATTAGTTTGCTGAGAGATCGAGCTTTTTCAAACACTGCNGTATCCAACTTGAGATGAAATATACCTACTTCGATTTCGACACGTAAATCTGTCAAACGATTACTATCGTAGAATGCTTTACTGGCTGTTTCCTGATCGAATATACGAAAAAAGACTCGTCCTGCAATTACTAAACCAAGCCATCCTTCCGGTCGCCATTTCTTTATTGCCATAACTGGTACAATTAGTTTGCTGAGAGATCGAGCTTTTTCAAACACTGCTTGGCCAAGAGATAATTGTTCTAATTGTGGAGTGAGAATTCCTACTAAAACCGTGCATTTCTCTACGCTGCTCGTTGCATTAGGTTTTGATAGATTTTCGATGATAATCGATGGTTGTGTTGCTATCAAAGAATCGAAAACTAGCTGAGCAACTGCAGAACCATCATCAGCAGTAGATATCAACACAACACAATCTGATGAACCCACTAGAAGTTTCGCATTCACGGCCTTTTCATTCTTCCAAATAAAACACACATTTATCTCAAATCAAAAGTACTTATCATTACTTCTAATATATCTTTTATATTGATCGTGTTTGGTTTTTTCTTTATCTGGGTTCGAGCACTGGTAGTTATCTCTGAGACTGCATGTATAAGAGATTGATCGTCACTTAACACAATCGATCGAATAGCACTTGCTGATATTGCACCCAATGCACCGTATGGACAAAAATTCGGTTCGGCAAGAACAGCAATCACGGATTTACGAACATCTTTTGCATAGTGAAGAGTTTCCATACAGAACGGAGTTCTCTGATAAAGTCGACTAATGATAACAACAAAAACGTCACACCATTGAACGAGTTTAGCTCGTATATCAAGCGAATTCGGAGTATTTTCATTAATTAAATAACATTGCAAAGATTGATCAATCAATCCTTGTTTCAATCGTTCACTGATATTTTGTTGTGTCGTATGATGAGCAATAAGGATTTTAGTTGTGTCATTATTAGATGCTAAAATACTGGCGATGAATGTTTTGTTGCGATGATAAAATGACGAGATTACCTGCAGTTGGTATTGTTGTTGACATATTTGCGTTTGACAACGCGGCGCCAGCTGTTGGAGTAGAAGAAACGACAAGAGTAGGTGTAACGACAACATCTTTGCTTAACGACCCGCAGCCCATCGTGAATTCTTGCTCAATGCAAATGAAAGCACCACAAAGAACGAGTAAAAAAACGATGTCGTATTGTACTTTCCTTTGTTGATCAATCTTGTATTTTTATTATTTCGGAAGGACAAAAATATATGTCAAAAATGACTCATAAAAATTATTCTATTGATTCTAGTAAATATCCCTGCTAGGATCTACTGTCCATACTCGTCCAACAACTTCTTGTAAATAATCTGTATATGCCAGATATTTTCCTCGTAGCCATACCAATGCACGATACGGATTCGGATCGCTCTTATTTACACATTTTGGTCGCATTGGACGCAGATTATCAGCAGTTGAATCACTTGTCAGTGTTATCCATGACCAAGTTTGTCCTCCATCATCAGTTTTACCGTAAAATAGTTCATAATGTCGCTGTTGATCCTTTCGACTGATTAATGGTTCACCTGTTGCTGGATCGCTATTCGTTGAGATATACACAACCGTTGGATCATCTGGTTCAATTACAGCTAAACCAGTATAATCATCTTCACCTGAATATAAACGGCAACCGGCATAAGCAAGTGAAAAATTCTGCCAAATAGAACCGTTCCATCGTGCATATCTGTATCGTATATCATCACCGCCTTGACCAACAGGAAGTCCCTCAGAATTGTATTGAACACTGTAAATACATACAGGATATTCATTGCGATCTAGAATAAGATCGACTATCCACGCAACATGTTGTGAATCGCCTTGATAAACTTTTGTGCCCTGATCAGGCGAATCAAGTCCAACCTGTAGCGAACTTAGTTTTATACCATCCGATTGGTATAGGTCACCAGAACGATAATAAATATGATATAAACTATTATCATAATCTCGCGGATGCCCTTCCGTATAGATCATGTGGATAGTATCTCGTTCATTCGAAGTATATCGTACGTAGGGTCTGTGTTTGATCGTAGAAGGGACGTTGATGTAAACATTACCATTATGCCAACTGGTTCCAAGATCATCGGAGTAGAGGTAAGATGGTTTGAACGAACCATGAAGACCGCGAAAGAAATCATAAATACGATTGGATTCATTCGGAAGAAGTATTAAATTTGCATATGTAAGCTCAGTTGCTGTTGATGGTGTATAAAGTTGAACTGGACCAAACTGGTTGAACGATTTTGTATCGGGAAGAGAAAGACGCGAATAATTATGTGATTCTGTACCATGCTTTGCATACAAAATCAATAAACGACCATCTGGTCTTATTAACAAAGCCGGCCCATCATGATCATCCAATTCAAATTGATCATGCAGAACGATAGTTTCTGTCATTTGAGTTAAGCAATCATGGACGTGCAGTTCAACATTACCACAACGATTTTTGTCATGACCACCAGACGCAACTGATCCTATTAAAAGCATGGAACCATATTGAAGAGCACCAGGCGATTCAAACCAACACCAGCCACCATCATCACTAAATACGATTGTCTCACTGGTGAAAACGTCAGTTACTTTCGGCTTCGTTACAGACATGATCAAACGCACAGAAGTTAGAGATTGAATATCTATAAGACTATCGCTGTACTCATACTTAAAATGAAAAACATGTAACTTACTACAAAACACGTGTGCTCCGGGCACACACAGCAAATACGACTTAGTGATAAGGCAATTCAGGCAGACAAGCTACGATAAAATAGCGCGTAAAATCACTTGAAGGTGTGCGAATGTTAATGTGTGATAAAACGATCATTTCATCGAATACGCAACAAAATTAATTAATAGATCTAAGAAATTTGCAATGATTTCTTCTGATATCGATAGTATTCTGTCAAAATCAATATGAAGACTAAAGGATATGTAACATAGTATTCAACGCATAGAACACAAAGAAACAACAGGTACTTTCACTGTGAGATTTAGTATCAGATATATTCGGACGTTTTGTTTAAGTAAATCATATGATATCCAATGAATTGTGTTGATAACTTGTGAAAAAAGTAATAAAGTATCGATTTCTTCTCATGCATTGTTCATGATATCGAATATACTTTCGTTGACACGATTATATCTCATTTACGCATTTCTCGTACAAAGTAAATGTCATGAAACTTATGTTTATTGGATTTCAAATGACAAAAAAATGATGTGTAGAACAATTTATTAGAGTGAATTTTCATTGGTAATAGTAACTGGTATGATGATTATATCTTGATTCATAATGCGGCTGTTGATTGTAGTTATTCGCTCCACTCGAGTGATGAAAAGCTCCTTTCATTTTGTGTGCAAGTGAGAATATCATCCTGGTTAAAATATTACCTGCAACAATACCTCCCGCTAAAATACCAACTTGAGCCAAAGCATGCTCCATACCGTTTTGAAATTGTGAAAGGAAAATATTGTTCGTTTACAAGTTAACGACACATATATACATAATTCAAAATAACGTCAGTCAGTCATAACGAACGTGCTGCATGATTTATAAATAAAAAGTTGATAAACAAGGAAGAGCAAAAGGAACGATACTTCGTACTTGCGCAAAACATCGAAAATAAGTAGTGATGTAAATTCAGAGAAAATGAAAACGTGCTTACGAAACTTTGCCTATTGGACATTATTAACTAAATTAGATACTGAAAACACGACGATACAATTTTATTGGATTGATTCACCGATAGCGCATTTTGTACAGTATGTCTCATTCATACTACGCAATTCAATTCTGTTTTTCATAATCGCTAGTAAAATTGTCATCGTTCAGAATATCAAATTTATACTCTAATATTTCCCTATTCAAGATACAATCTTCAGAAGAAACGCACCTAAAGCAAGAAGACAAGCAATTATTCTATGATCAGATCCAGTAAAATACAGTATGACATTCATCGTTGATCTGAACAGGAGTTTCAAATTCATATACGGCAAATAAGAAGATAGTTTGGTTCGAATGATTGATAAAATTGCAATACAGATGATTGATTTGATAGGAAAATACATTCATTTGATTGTACAGAATATTTCTTGATTTGAAAAAGGAAAGACTCCTATTGAAATTTTGAGAATTCGTTTTTGTAGATGTAGATGTCGCTGCAGAATGCAATCAAATATTTTTTTAAACTAAGATTCGATCGATGAGAAATGCATGTTTAATATCAGAAGCAATCGCTTTTACGGAGGATCTCTATTGTGTTTGCATCACATGGATTATACTGGAGAATTGTTATTGCAATATTTTTCTCTATTACTCAAGATACTTACCTTGGATTTTTCCTCTATTGATATAAAGAAAAAGATTCGTTGTGGGTTTTCTCCCAGTCCTACATACAGATATACATGCAAGTCTCGTCACCATTTTCAGTGATTATTATTTCTCTTCTATAGAAATTGAAAGATGTCAATGCATGATTTTCCTGGAGAACTATGGCTAATGATTTTCAAATATCTCTCAACTGAAGATCTCCTTCACACCTTTCATTCTCTTAACCAACATCATCGCAATCTTATTGCTGAACATTTTCAGTTTAATGCTGTTAACTTACGATCCACTTCGGAATCGAATTGTCATCTTTGTTGTTCTTACTATTCATCTAGCATTCGTAAGCTTCGTTTGTGTCAAAGCTTCGATTATCCATCACAAACTAGCTCATTCCTTATACAACATTTTCACCTGAATCGATTTACATCTCTTCAATCTTTATCGCTCGAACATATCGAATCGTCTACAATCTGGCAAGAGATATTGAACCAAATAAATGAATTACAAAACTTAACTCATTTGTGCATTCGTCAATTGAACGTTTACAATAATATAAGAACTCTTAATTCGATGTTTAACCAATTGTGGAGTTTACCAAAGCTCATCTATGTATATTTTGATCTGAAACATTCAAAAGAGAAAAGTAATGAACAATTTCCTGCTTTGAATACGATTTCTTTGTCATTAAAACACGTCGAACTGCCCAGTTTGACATGCAATTTGAATGATGTGCATATTATTTGCCATCATACACCATGCTTGGAGATTTTATCTTTGAATTGTGTCAGTTTAGGTGGAAATCAGTTGGTGCGACATGAGTTCGAGTGGATAAAGAAATTACGTCTTGTGTTTAATGGAGTATGGCCCGCTCTGACCAATCTCCTCCAGTGTATGACGAACTTGGAGCATTTAACACTCACTGCAACACTTCCAATTTCAGTAGATGGTCATCGATGGCGAAGTCTTATTTCCGAACATCGGCCGAATCTTAAAGTATTTCAATTTGTAATCCATTACAAAACTGTTGAAAGACAGAGTACTCCAGTACAGGCGATTAGACTCGTGAATTCATTTAATAATGCGTTTTGGTTAACAGAACATCATTGGTGTGTTCGTTGTGATTGGCAAAGATTAAACGATCCAAATTATGTTTGTCTTTACACCCTTCCGTATATACTCGATCAATTTTACGAATGTGCCAGTAATGTTCTTCTTGAATCTCAAACGACTTGTGTTCAAAATCATCAATCATACGATCGCGTGCATTCACTAAACTATTCATATTTTCCAACAGTATTATTACCGATTTCGTTTTCCAAGCTTAACACTCTCCTATTAACACTACCAATAGATAATCGTTTTCAAACGGTCATTCCGAGTCTCAATGAGCTGAGACATATTCAATTATATATTGAAGAAAATGAAATTGATGATCAACGACTGAACTTACTCAACACAGCACCATGTTTGTATAAACTAAGTTTAAAGAAATGGCCATCGTCGACAACACGCGATGTATATGAACGCATTACCAACGCATCGATTCGTAAATTAGATTTGTATGGAATGTCATCAACTAATTGCCTGCAGTGTTTTGATTATAAGCGATGTGAAGCTCTCAGTCGTACAACTCTAGCACAACAATGTGAAAAGTTGACAATACGTCTTGAAACTCATGAGAATATCTTTCTTCTTTTGTCCAATATGAGAAATCTTCGATTATTAGTTGCTCGATGTGCAAACGATCCTTGTAGCGGAGAATCGGAACATCCTGATAGGTTTTTACAGCAGATTAAAGCTCAATTGCCGTCAACATATATTGTGTTCAGAGAAGCACGTAGTTTTGGCAAGATTCGGATTTGGATTCAGTAGTATATTCTTATTTTTTATCTTATTTATTCGTGAAGAATGACATTTCGCAGAACTTCTAAATTCCGTCTTTTGAATCATTTTTTGTATGTATACAAATAGATAAAAACTAATGTGACGCTATCTGCAGCTTTTCTACCGTTCGATCTCACTTTTCACAGAAATATGGAAGCAAAATCAGTTCAGTTTTCCCTATTTTCATTTGTTGATGCTCGGCTAAGCAACGAAAATTGAAAAAAACACTTTTAATGAAAGTGCCTAATTGTCATCAAATGCGAAAAAGCCGAGATGATAAGAGAAACACACGGAGGAATGGCAGTAGTTTAAGAAGTGTTTAAATCATAGAAATTTTTCTTCTTCTTGATCTTCTTTTCAAAATGCAGCTCATATTTTATGTCATCCAAAGCGAATCGAATACAATATTTCAATCCGTTTTCAAGATGTCTGCATTTCGTCACACAAACGACCTACCATCGACTTTTCAAGTCCGTTTCTATATTCTTCTCAATCTATTAGAGTTAACTTGCTACACAACGAAAACAAAATCTTTATTAAAAATGATCATTACATGAACATTTCCCATCTGAGAAATGATGAATACGGTTCGCATCACGAATAATAATTTCACACTCACGAATTCGACTGATCAACTTGATTGCACCATCTATGACAAGAAACCGAAACATATTTTACTTCGATCCTACTCTCAACTTACGACAATCACCACAAATACGGAGATTATTTACAATTTGAATACGTGATGGAACTGGCCGCTGAATGAAATGATATGCAAGTGCCAATCTCTCACTGTGACTGTTGAGAATAGATGCAACAGTCTCATTAGTTCTCATTTCACGTGTTATCCAACTGGCATCGAACTTATGACCATGTTCAATGAGTTCCTTTTCGATTCGATCAAGTTCATCATAGATTTCATCTGTTCGTGAATGTCTTCGATCTTTGACACGAAATTCCTTCAAAATAAATAAGAAGTTCAACAAGCATCAATAGACCAGAAGATTAATCTTTACCATAATTTCACCGTTGACTTCAGTCCAAGATACACCCACTTCTTTCTTGATACCTGATTGGCTCATTTCTAGTCTTAGTTGTGATGCTTCTTCTAATTCGCCTGATGATGCTAAAGTATTACCGAAAAGTACTGAGACCGATATCAAATCGTCATCAACAGCATGACCCAATTGTTTTATTCGTTGAGTTATTTCTCGCGCAAGAGAAACATCGTTTCGATTACGAGCACCTGACAATATGGCCTCTAAAAAGGAACAGTTACAGGTCTCGATCGTGATGATTCTACATCAAATGAACTTTTTCTGATGAAGAAACTTACTGTACATCGGTAGGTAAGGAGGTTGATGACGCTCAAACTCGTGGATCAACTGTTTTGCTTCATCAAAGAACAATGATCGACTCAAACAATCGACCTACAACAGCAATTCATTGTTCGATTCTGATATCAATTTAGTTACCATTGTTGTATAAATGAATTGGTTTTTATTTGGAATCGTTGCAAAAATTGAACGACATTCATCAACAAGACCTGAATGTGAACACGCATTCAGCACACAAACATGAGCCTTTTCATCCCTCATTTCCACTGGCATTCGATGGTAAAGCCGAATGGCTTCATAACCCATTCCATTCAACCCATATGCATTAACTATTAAGGCCCATTGATAAACGCACAAATCACAAAGTCACCTTACTCATAGCTGTATATGCGACTGAATCAGGTTTGTCAATTTTGTCAAACACATGTTTTGCTTCGTTTACACACGATACCTTCCCCTGATCAATTACAAAATGCAGTACAGGCAAATATACAACTGTGATGTCACTTACCCACATATGCACTAAAGTAGTTTGAAGTTGAAGTTCCAAAAACATTGATGCTGGAATCTGTTTCACAATAGATCGACAACATGATTCAAGTCCAAGTTTAGTACACGCATCCAGCAGACGAACAAAAATTATTGGATTCACTTGAACATCTTCCACTTTCATCTTTTCATACAGATTGAGAGTTTTCATCGGCATATCATGATCATTATAACACTTCATCATTTGTCCATAAGTAACCACGATCCGTTTCATTCGATCGAATAATCGTTCAGCATTGGAGATATCACCACATTTGATAAACATGTCAAAGGCAGAAACGGTAACATGCTCATTTTTTCGTTCAATTTCTGGCATAGAAAGCCACACGTGTTTACCAACATCTAATGCTTCTGCTGTTCGAACTTGAGCACAACTGTTAAACAAAAGACCACGAAGAACTCTATCTGGATTATTCACATCTTTAAACATTTCAATTGCTTTTTCAGGCATATTGTTCTGGATGAAACCTAGAGAAGAAAGATAGTTCCTTATTGGTACAACGAACTAAATGAGTGAGATTACCTTTCATCATCGCACCATAATGAACCACATTTTTGTTGACACATGAATCGAAAACATGTTGAGCATTGTTCACGTGACCACATTGCACTGCAAGATTTTTTACTAGAGCAATGTGAATTCATACAGACAACATAAACTCACTATAGAAATGAATAAGCGATGTTTGGATGAACATATTCTTTGTGGATTGATTGGAGAGTTTCTCGTGAATGCTTTGACCACGTTCCAAAGAAGTTAGTTGAGTACAAGCTTTCAGTGCTTGAACAATCACTTTATCGGTCAATATTTCCGAATTTTGTTGATGTTTGTCGAAGAGATCAAGTGCTTTTGTGAACTGTTTTTTGTCATTGAGATTCTTCATTTCAAGTTCAATATTCGATCGAGAGGAACTTGTGATCGTACGTCGAATAGTGAAATAACATAGTTTCGTTTGACGACGAGAGAGAACAACAAATAAACTGAACATTGGATATAATGAAAGAGGAAGAACGATAATTGTTCAATTTGAAAGTGTCAAAGAGATCGGTAAATTATCAATCGTTCTTCTTGACTGGAAAGTGTTGGAGTAACTGACTGTAGAAGATGAATTTAGTTTTGTTTACTGTTTTATTTCGCATTCACAACAGGATAGGATAGATACATAATGAATATGGTCGAGATAAGTTACATTCACATGGTACATACAGAAGTGTATAGAGCTTCTCCTGGCCATTTTAAACTAATCAGACTAGTCCATATTTAACTTATTTCTATCCAACGTCGAATAGCAATGTTCACGCACGATGTATGTTTAATTCTTGGAAGAACTGATTCCAAAGAAAATATCTCTCAGTATATTGATGAAAAATAATTTAAATCGTAAATATTTCCATTCGAATTAAAGAAGAATCGTTGAAAACTGTAGAATATAATGAGAATTTTCGTAGTTAAAGTTCTTTTCCAGTGAGTTTGATTAAATAGATGTTACTGGAAAATATTTCGACCTTGTATTTAGACTTGTTTGAAATCTGTAAACCAAATGATCAATTCGGTGCCACTCAATACTGCTAAAGATTTCATGAAACTTCGATCCGTGTTAATGTGTTGCATAATATGATTCGATTTAGTTGAACAACTTCAAAAATCTCTCATGATCTTATTTACTAGATTAACTGGTAATATTGAGTTGATTAGATCGCTTTTTTTCTATTGGTAATGTTCATCTCTTTCATCAATTATTCTCGTCTACAATATCAAAAGAGCCTTTCTCATAGTAAGTACTTCGTGTTTGTCTCGTTAGTCGCTTCACATTAACATTTTCTTCCGAATTCAATTCTTTAATCTCTAAAGGAATTTCTCTTCAACTTTCCATGTGCTACGTCGATTTTTCTTTTCTCATATACGAAAATAATGACGATGTGAATGTGTGAGAGAGAGAGATAGGAAAAGCATATGTCACACTCATTTCTAAGGCCTATGTTGAGATAAATTTCATAACATTAACATTCTACTTTCAATTTCAACAGTAATATTCTCTTGCGTTCTGTTCAACTGGAAAATAAATGAATCTCTCTCCTACTTTTGTGACGTGCTTTCAATATGGAATTCAAAACAAGAGCTCATGGTTCAGTTACACATATTCCACGTGTAACGAATATTAAGAAAGGAAAGAATTCAACAGAATAGAAGATATGTTACGTATTTTCTGTAGATGATCTTTACGATAACATGCATGAGAAAGACAGCGTTCATTGTCTGAATCTCAATTAATGATCGCTATACATTTATACATAGTGTCACTTTTGAATTCTGGTAGCATTAGAAAGCAGTACAACAAGTATTACTTAAATGATCATTGTCGAAAACAATTTGTGAATGTGTTAATTCCTGAAATATCGCTCATTACGCATGTCAAAATGATAAAATCTTTCTAATTTCGTGATCGATTTAACACTCCCATGTTATTATGGCTTGGTCGGTTCCGCCTGTTAAGTTTGTTTTCCGATCATTTCCTTGCCACCGGATTCCGTCGGCTAGGAATTTGGCGAAAACTGTGCCGGGATCGACAAAAGCTGTACCGAAAACGGCTCAGATTTCAACACATCCAGTTGCCGCCATGATCGGCCTGGGATTTCTAAAAGCTCACAGAAGAAACGTTCCATTTGTAAGAAACTTTAGCAAACTACTTTAACTATAATATTTGAAAATCGAAATGTTATCTATACATCATATTCATCGTCAAATCTCTTACTATATCGTTTGAAGTAAAACCAGATGTAAAATTTTTGCAAACACTTCAGAAATAATTCTTCTTCTTATTGCTACAATCATCACTTACATACGTACTGAATAGAACGCCCTCAAGATTTTTTCCCGAGAATAATTTAATAAATAGATTATGGAAAGTCAAATACAATTGACAGAAGTTTCTTAAAATGATCGTCATCCATCTGTTATTTTGATTAGTTTAAGAAGTGTTTAAAAAATAGAAATTTTTCTTCTTCTTGATCCTCTTTTCAAAATACAGCTCATATTTTATGTCGCCCAAAGCGAATCGAATACAATATTTCAATCCGTTTTCAAGATGTCTGCATTTCGTCACACAAACGACTTACCATCGACTCTTTTCAAATCTGTTTCTATATTCTTCTCAATCTATTAGAGTTAACTTGCTAAACAACGAAAACAAAATCTTTATTAAAAATGATCATTACATGAACATTTCCCATCTGAAAAATGATGAATACGGTTCGCATCACGAATAATAATTTCACATTCACGAATTCGACTGATCAACTTGATTGCACCATCTACGACAAGAAACCGAAACATATTTTACTTCGATCCTACTCTCAACTTACGACAATCACCACAAATGCGGAGATTCTTCACAATTTGAATGCGTGATGGAACTGGCCGCTGAATGAAATGATATGCAAGTGCCAATCTCTCACTGTGACTGTTGAGAATAGATGCAACAGTCTCATTAGCTCTCATTTCACGTGTTATCCAACTGGCATCGAACTTATGACCATGTTCAATGAGTTCCTTTTCGATTCGATCAAGCTCTTCATAGATTTCATCTGTTCGTGGATGTCTTCGATCTTTGACACGAAATTCCTTCAAAATAAATAAGAATTTGAACGAGCATCAATAGACCAGAAGATTGATCTTTACCACAATTTCACCGTTGACTTCAGTCCAAGATACACCCGCTTTTTTCTTGATACCTGATTGGCTCATTTCTAGTCTTAGTTGTGAGGCTTCTTCTAATTCGCCTGATGATGCTAAAGTATTACCGAAAAGTACTGAGGCCGATATGAAATCGTCATCGACAGTATGACCCAGTTGTTTTATTCGTTGAGTTATTTCTCGAGCAAGAGAAACATCGTTTCGATTACGAGCACCTGACAGTATGGCCTCTAAAGTTTAAAGAACAACGTTGTTGACCTTGATTATTCAACGCGAAACGAACGTGTTCTCATGGGAAAACTTACTGTACATGGTTACATCAGGCGACTGATGACGCTCAAACTCTTCGATCAACTGTTTCGCTTCATCAAAGAAGAATGATCGACTCAAACAATCGACCTACAACAGCAGTNCGTTCACGCGACCACATTGCACTGCAAGATTTTCACGAGAGCAATGTGAAGCCGTATAGACAACATAAACTCACTATAGAAATGAATAAGCGATGTTTGGACGAACATATTCTTCGTGGATTGATTGGAGAGTTTCTCGTGAATGCTCCGACCACGTTCGAAAGAAGTTAGTTGAGTACAAGCTTTCAGTGCTTGAACAATCACTTTATCTGTCAATATTTCCGAACTTTGTTGATGTTTGTCGAAGAGATCAAGTGCTTTTGTGAAGTGTTTTTTGTCATTGAGATTCTTCATTTCAAGTTCAATATTCGATCGAGGGGAACTTGTGATCGTACGTCGAATAGTGAAATAACATAGTTTCGTTTGACGACGAGAGAGAAGAACAAATAAAGTGAACATTGGATATAATGAAAGAGGAAGAACGATAATTGTTCAATTTGAAAATGCCAAGGAGATCGGTAAATTATCAATCGTTCTTCTTGGCTTGAAAGCGTTGGAGTAACTGACTGTAGAAGATGAATTTAGGTTTGTCTACTGATTTCTTTGGCATTCACAACAGGATAGGATAGATATATTCGATGTTTTGAAGTTGATTCGCCGAGAGCTATCAGATACGAAATTCGCGTTTTTAATCTTTCGTCTAGAAATAGATGTGAGAAGTAACAGATATAACGATGGAGATATCTTTTTTCTCTAATCTCAATTCGATTCATTTCGTATGAAAACCGTCAAGTCCACGGTTGGGGGGTATGAGACTGTTGTACCAAAAAAGGTGCATTTACTGTATTATATCAGTATTGTCAAACGAGGTGACAGTCATTTGTGCTTAAACACTGGAACTGTTTACTGTGTGCACTAGAATGAGTTAACTGTTGATATTCTCTCTATGTGAGATGAGATGTTGCTTACCATTGTGAAGAAACTGAATAATCCAGTCAGAATATTTGTCGATGTTCTTCTGTCAAAGCACTAGATGTAGAAAAATTGTTGGTTTATTATAGCCGTTCGTCCAAATGAAATGTATTCTCTATAAAACAAGTATGTTGGACTTAACTACATTGACAATTGATCGTTTGTTCAAAAGAATAAATTCGATATCGATCGCATACATTATCCATCAATTTATTCCTTGTTTATAACATAATTCAAAAAAAATATGCGAAAAAATATGAATAACGAACAAAACAGAAAAACAGTTTGTCGTAGGGATTAGCACTATATAAAAAAAAGAATACAGACATCGAAAATACATACAGAAATATGATGAAAATAGCTTTACAATAAAAAAGAGAAAACGAGAAATACATTAAAATCACACATCTTCTTTGTGTCTTCTTGCTGATTTAAGTGAAACAAATTCTCGTGCTAATTCATCATTGGTTCGATGGGATAAAATTCTCAAGATAGTTAAACCTGTTTCATCAAAATTGACTCGCGCGCCTAATGGCACCCACGATGACCATGAACCTTGTTCAATAACTTGAGTTAGTTTAATAACATTTAGACCAATCAAACGATCTTCACGCATAAAAGAATAATCTTTTACAGCAATATTCAATTCATAACAATCGGGTTCTTCTTCATTGCCCAACAAACTACAAAAAAAAA